ACACTTATCTTCACACAAAAATCTATACACAAAAGTTTATATCCATAAATGCCAAAAGCTGGAAGCAATCCAGATGTTCTTCAATGAATAAATGGATTAACCAACTGTAGTACATGTAATGTAATACTTCCCAACAAGAAAAAGAAACAAACTGTATACATACAATAATATGAATAAACCTCAAAAGCAAAGTAAAAGAAAATTCAGACAAAGCTATGTACTGATTTCATTTATATGACATTCTGGAAAAGGCAGAAGAATTTGATTGGATGTTTTCTAAAGAAGACATACAAATGACCAACAGGTACATGAAAGGCTATTCAACATCACTAATTATCAGGGAAATGCAAATCAAAACCACAATGTCAATCACATATCACCTCACATCTGTCAGAATGGTATTATCATAAAGAAAATAACAAATATCAGCATGGATGTGGAAAAAACGGGACCCTGTCCACTGTTGGTGGGAATGTAAATCAGTGCAGCCAATATGGAAAACAGTGTAGAGGTTCCTCAGAAATGTTTAAAATAAAACTAAGATATGATCTCAATTCAATTCCTGGGTATTTATCTGAAAGAAGTAAAACTACTACCTTGGAAAGATACCTGCACCCTGATGTGTTCTGATGATCAGAACTATTTACAATAGTCATGACATAGAAACAACCTCAGTGTCCATTGATGGATGACTAGATAAAGAAAATGTGATATATAGGTAGACAGAGATATGGATATATAGATACTGGTGTGTGTCGAGTATCTTATATATAATGGAATATTTGTGGTTGTTGTTTAGTCATTGTAATTCACCATTTTAAAAAAGTGGAAATCCTGCCATGTTTTACAATATGGATGGACCCTGAGGGCTTTATACTAAGTGAAATAAGTCTGGCAAAGAAAGATAAATACTGTATGATATCATTTTTATATGAAATTTAAAAAAAAACTGAACTCATGAAACAGAACAGAATGTTGGCTGCCAGAGGTGGGGGTACAGAGGTGCAAATGGGTGAAGACAGTTGAAAAGTATAAACTTCCAGGTATAAGATAAATAAGTCCTGGGAATGTAATGTACTGCATGGTGAGTACAGTTAATCTATTACATAAAGTTGCTGAGCAAGTATATCTTAACATTTTCATCACAAGTGAAAAACTTTAACAATGTATACTGATGAATGTTAACTGAACTTACTGTAGTGGTCATTTCACAATACACACATATATCAAATTGCTTTGTTGGACACCTAAAACTAATTTAATGTTATATGTCAATTAAATCTCAATTTTAAAATATAAATTAAAATAACTAGAGAAAAAGAACATAGCAGTTGTTAGGGTTTGAGGATTGAGGAGACAGTTGGCTGCAAAGGAGAAGTGGGGGACTTGAGCAGTGATGAAATTGCTTTACCCTTTTATTGTGATGGTGATTACATGACCTAAATGTACTGTCAAAACCCATTGAACTATATGGCCAAAAATGACTTCTCTATAAAATTTTTAAATTATATGCTTAAAAAGAGATACTGGGGCTGGGACTCTCTACCGACTACTTTTTCCTTTGTCAAATGGATCCCTATTAGGTTTTGCCAATTGGAGGTCCTCAAAGGAGACAAGAAAGCTTGAAGAAGAAACTTGCTCCTTCCTATTTGATTTTGATCTCTGTCAATATCACCCACAGTTTCTTTACTCTGCCAGGGAAGCTGTTTCCTGTTTCCAGTTTTACTTTGTTTTTCCACATTCCTAGAACAGTTTTGTTGCACCACTTCAGAGATACCAGCATCAGACGACCTCCCTTCTCAATGGTCTGAGAATTCTTCTTAAAGTTTCTAGATTCTAATTACCTGTCAGTTTCCCTATTCCTCCAGCCCTGTGGATAGTAACTGCTTCCTTTGGTTTTTAATCTCTGCACTATTTCTTGTTCTCTTTTTCCTCTTCAGTACTCTATTGCCTGCTTAATAATGTCTTGGAGTATTCTTTCTGTTAAAATTGCTGATGTGATTTCTGTTCTATGGATTAGAAATTGATTGAGAGAAAGCCCAGGTCTGTCCCATGTCCTACAAAATCCTTCATGATCCATCCTGCCCATTACATCTCTGACCTCATCTTTTACTTTTCTTTCCCCTCACTCTGACTCACAAGAAATACAGTTGATAACGAAGTATGTTAAGCTTCACCACAGGGGTGTAGTGTCATCAAAATTCAGAATATGGGAAACTCTATTGGACAAATAACTTAGTCTCTCCAACAAATAAATTGAAGAAGGGGAAAAAATGATAGAGGTGAAGCCTCTAGATGAGAAGTGCCTTAAAACATATTAACCAGCAGAAAAGTGAAGACCTTATTTGATTTATATTTATATATACAATATGGGGCTTCCCCGGTGGCTCAGTGGTAAAAATTTCACCTGCAATGTAGGAGCCGCGGGAGACAGGTTCAAACCCTGGGTGGGGAAGATCCCCTGGAGGAGGGCATGGCAACCCACTCCAGTACTCTCACCTGGAGAATCCCCATGGACAGAGAAGCCAGGTGGGCTACAGTCTATAGGGTCGCAAAGAGTTGGACATGACCTAAGTGACTTGACACACATACATGCACACAATATATTCACATAATATATATAATTTCATATATGATTAATATATATAACATCATATATATCTATAAGGTAATTGAGAGATTTGAACTCTTGAGTTGTTAAATTGAATTTTGGTTTCATGTTTAAGAGTCAAACATTTGGAGATACAAGTGGAAATATTTATGGACGTATTAGGATTGGGTGCTAGGAGAAGGTCTGGGGGAAGCAGATGGCTCATAGATGTAATAACATTGGCCACAAATTGATCACTGTTGAAGCCAAATGTCTTCATCATTTCAAGCTAGTGTAACAAAATACCACAAACTGGGTGACTTATAAACAGTAAATATTTCTTACAGTTCTGGAAGCTGAGAAGTCCAAGACAGGGGCACTTGAAGATTCAATATCTGGTGGGGAGCCCATTTCCTCATTCACAGCAAATTTCTTGCTGCAACCTCATATGTGGAAGGAGCAAAGATGTTCTCTCAGGCCTTATTTATAATGATACTAATCCCATTCATGAGGGGCTATTCTTATGACTTAATCACCTCCCCAAGCCTCCACCTCCTAATAGCATCACTTTGGGGGTTAGGTTTCAACATAAACATTTTGAGAAGGACACAAACATGCAGCCTACAGCACCAAGCAAAAGAAGGGATTCATTTTATTATATAAAGACTAGATTGTTTATATGTTTTAAAATTTCTGTTTGTCTTCAAAAATCTGAGGGTCTATCTACCGTGTGAGGCAGTTAACTCAAAGAATGACTTACAGGCCTCTGGAAAATGTCAGGAGCCATTGCTGAAAAGCATATACTGCAGTGGTTTCAACCATAAGCTCTGGAAATCAACACCTGTGTATACCATGAGATAGTGGTCGCCTGTGTGACCTTGGACTTCATGTCTCCATGCCTCTGTTTCCCACATGTAGAGTGGAATTGATAATGGGGTCTAGCCCCATGGAGTCTTCCTGAAGATTAACTGAGTTAATAGCTATGAAGCACTATCTCAGAACATCATGTGGCTCATAGTAAGCACCCAAAATATGTCTATTATAATTATCATTATTACTATTATCATCAAATAGGAAGACATGTTAAAATGAACCAAAAGGATCTTGAAACAAGTGTATCCAAAATATGTTTTTAATCTTAATGAAGTTCACAAATGGCATAATATTGACATTTCCTTAAACAAATTATACAATCACAATCTTGGACAATAAAGCATAGCATCACCATTACCATGTGTCCCCACAGGCCACAGAGGCAGCGACTGAATGTCCCCCTAAGAGTTGGCAGAGATGCCATGGTCAAAAGAACATCTTTCAAAGACCCAATTTGCTACCAGATAAGCTAATGAGCGATGTCATCACATTTACTGCACATAGAATCAAATATAAAAAAGATGCACAACAAATATGGAATTAGCTTATTTTGCATTCAGTTTCATTCCTTTCAAGTGATAAAGGTGCTTTTTTCCGATATCTATTAGGATGCAAACATGTATATCTTCCATGGTACCTCCTCACCAAGTGGTTGTCAACAGAAATTAATGGAAGTGGTGAGTTCAGCTTCATGGTAACCTGAGGTGAAAAAAGTAAATAAAATAAAAAAGAAGAAGAGGGGTAGGAAGAGGAAAAGAAGAAAAAGAAAGAGAAATAGGAGAATAAGAAGGAAATAATCACAATTACTACTCAAAGAACACAAATTTATAGAAATGTTTCTTTAACTGAACTCTATTTACAAATTATGGATATGAGATATGAGAAAACTTTTATGGCAAATGATGAGAAAACAATTCAGGGGTCACTATTAATATTAGCAGTAGCATTACAGTTATGCCCTCTTGTCTGAATCTGTGAACATTGATCAATGTTGAAGGCCTTTCTGAAACTGGTTTCATTAATGATGTGTGACCCAGGTTAAGATTTGCAAGGCCCTCCCTTTCTGAGCTCAGCAAGCTATTTTTCTCTTCTGAGAAAGATGACACTTCATTTCTACAGCCTGTCCTGTGTGTGAGAGAGAGAATGTCAGTCCCTCAGTCATGTCCAACTCTTTGCAACCCCATGGACCCACCAGGCTCCTCTGTCTATAGAATTTTCTAGGCAAGAATACTGGATTGGGTAGCCATTTCCTTCTCCAGGGGATCTTCCCAACCCAGGGGCTGAACCTGGGTCTCTTGCATTGCAGGAGAATTCTTTACCATCTGAGCCACAGGGAAGCCTACCACCTGTCCTAGGGCTTGGGTTTTTAAACTAAGTGGTAGCAACCCACTAACTCAAGAGGAAAAATGTAATTGGAGAGAAGAGATCTGAACCCATGTCCAGCGGGTTTCAAAATGTGAGTCCTAACCTCCAAATCCCTGCTCCTCCCATCTGACAGTACAAGGCAATCACCTTCTTCCCAGAGTCATTTCTCTGCTCAGTCCTGAAGGTCCCTGCGGCGCCGGCCGAAGGCTTCGGAGCCCACGTTGGTGGGCACGAAGTTGCTCTTCACCATGCCCCCAGATCTGCTGAGCAAGCCTGCCAGCCGATGGGTCACACAGGTGGCGGTGTTGCAGGACCTCTTCTGAGCGGTGATGCTGGTTTGAAGGATGAAGAAAGGGGAGAAGGCCTGTCAATGAGAGGCTGCGGCAGAAGCCTACCCCACCGGGCCTTCAGAGAGTTGTAGCTCTTCGATATATCACTTAAAAATAAGCATTTCTCCTAAATGCAATTATCAAGGCTGTTAGGGGAAATGACTTGGCAGCCTTTGCGAGAAGCCCTGCCTAAAAGTTTTCACAAAAAAATGCACTTCTAGGCGATGTGACAAGTGCTAAAACCCTACACTTACCATCTCTTACATTCGCCCCACCCCAACATACAAGGACATATGAGGACATACCCCAGCCAAAAACACCAACAAAACCACTTTCCATGGAAAATGAAAATTTTCTTAAGTCTTACCTGGAAGAGGCTCAGAGCACCGGGTTTGCAGCATCCTCCCCCAGCAGTGCTTACCTGCTCCTCAGCATACCTGTTCTCATTGCAGGAGTTGGTTCACAGGACTCTCACCACACCCTGTATCCCACTTACCCTAAGGTGAAGGTTACTTATAAGCATAGGCCCTGGGCACTCTCAGGCCTTGGATGGGGACCAGAGTAATGACCACCAAAATGTCAATCCTTTTAGAAAATAGATTTATTCATCAGTGACGAGACATGAGGGATGATGCAGGAATTGGAGGACTCTGCCATGACACCCTTGGGATCTCAGAAACTTCCCTCACTCTCTCTCATCTCTAAACTTATCTGTGAGTCCTGCTGTCTTTCCTTCCATCCTGAGGTTCCTGGCATTCTTTGTCATAAGCAAAGCTACCAATAAAAGCTTGAAGAGCAATCAGGGTGAAATCTGCATGCATTAATTTCATCCATGGGAACAAGAAAGGAAATCAGGAAGGAGTGGAAGGAGTTCAGTTGGCATCCTGGGGCACCCCAAAATGGGAGGAGCGGTCCCTCTCCAAGCCGTTGGCTACATCCCTTTTCTTGCCAGGTGTTTCAGGCCCGAAGCCCATGCCAGAGAATCTATGATAGTTGTTCAAGTCCTTCCAGTACGCGCTCAGCACACAGGTACTCAGATTACTGCACCGCTTAGCTCTGGAGCCGTCCAGGCTGCAGGGAAAAGACATGCCAGACAATACCATGCACCAGGGCTGCTCCTGGGGGCAGTCATGCAGAAGGTTAGACCAGGGAGGGGGCACTTGGAGCAGAGGTGGAAGGGGCAGGCAGGGGGCACAGCTCACACACCCTCCACTAGAAGAACTCAGAGGTTCGCTGAGCCAGGGCAGAGTGGGGCAGGGCTGCGGTGGGGAAGGGGTGACCTTTTCTGGCATTCCACATGCTGTTCAGTCCTTCCTGCTCTGCAGAGAGGTTCTCAGGGTGGATGCAAGTGCAATGCATGGCTCTGCTGGTGTGAACTCAAAGCTCAGGGTGCACAGGGAGGCGGGGACGGGGAAGGGTGTCTGGTCCAGTGAGAGCATGCACATGGCCACAGATTCTACACATCTGAAGGCCCCAGACCTGCCTCAGACCCTGAACAACCTGACCCCACCCTCTGCAAGGCCTTTGGGTTTACCTTGCAACTGTGCAATGAAGGTGCCTTGCAGGTGTGAAAGAACATACACAGGTTAAATTCCTTAGACATCCTGAGCTGTGACAGGCCCATCCCCTGGCTCCACACTTACCAGTCCTAACTCATCCATCGTTGAATGTTCTCCTCAGTAGGGCAAGACCAATTCTTAGAATAAGTGCTTCCACATCTCCCCATCTCATTTCCTAACAGCTTTCAGGAGTTGATCTTTTCAATGTGTCTAACTAACCACAGTCGCTCCAGCTGCATCTGGACCAACCACAGTCTTCCATGGAGGCTGAGAATGACTGGGTGCCAGGTCCTGGTGACAGGGACAACCTGCGGGACTCTGGCCGGATGTTGTTTTTCCTGCTTCTCTGGGCTGCACCCTCCTGAAGAGGCCAGGGCTGGGAGGGGAGACTTACCTGGAGTCCTCTGTCTCCTGCTCCTCTTCCTGCTCCAGCTCGTTGGTCTTCCTCTGGACATAGGCCTTCACCAGTGCGGCCAGCAGGAGGCGCCCTTCCTTCTCACTGAGTGCCCCAGGATCAGGGAGGGTCTCCAAAGCTGACCTGAAGAGAGGAAGCAACCCCCGCAAAGCGACTCTGAGCTCCTGCCTGCCTCCTTCCCAGGATAGGCACCCAGGCTACCCAGTCCCTGTGGCTTTCCCAGAGGACATGGCTCTCCTGACTCCCAGCCCACAGGGCTCAAAGCCAGTGTCCACCTAGGGGTGTTGATTCACTGGGAGCCTCCCACTGCTGTGACCTCAGAGGCAAAAAAACTGCCTGATCCCGGGTCAGTGGAAGGAGAATAAGTTTGTGGCTTCAGGCTGTCTCACCTGAGTGGTGTCGCCTGGAGACTGCCTGCCTGGCACAGGACCAAGATGCTGAAAGCCAGGAAGGGGGAGGATTTCCCGAAGCCCATGATGCCTCTCTGTAAAGGGAGATGACGTTACCACTGCACCAAGACCAAGCACCGTCTGGAGCCCACGGACCCAGGTTCCAGTCCGGCCACAGCTGCCTTGAGAATTCAGGCAGGTTACTTCACCTCCCCACGCCTCTTTTCAGTTCATTTGCCAGATAGACTGCTTTGAATCTCAAAATATACATTACGCCGAATAGTTTGGTAAGTAGAAATAGGTGTGCTGGGGTGGGGGTGGGGGGTTCTGGTTTTGTTCTGTGAAAAGCCAGGAAGAAGCCACACACATGCACATGAAGCCACACCTTTTGCCCTCTGCAGAACCAAGCGAGGACCCACCCGTGCTGTAGACAGTGCCTATCTTCTTAGGGACTGAGAAATCTGGGACCACTTCACCTCCGCTGGACTTCGCTGCCAAAGGGTGGGAGAGGAATTGCAGGAGGAGTAAATTGGAAAGGAGCGCTAACCTCTCAGTCTGTGGGCTTGGGTTTGGATTTGGGAGTAATTTAACGTGCAGGATCGTCCCTGGCCTCTGCCAGCTCATCCCGTCTCTGCTGAAATGCGGTTTAGCAGCAGGTGCTGGGCGCCAGCTCCCCGAGATGAGCTCCACGTTCTGGCCTCTGGCCGGCTGACTGCACTGCCCCAAGTCCGTGCCAATGCCCCAGGCACGCAAGAGAGCTGCAGACGCCTCAGAGAAGCTTCAGGTCTTAACCGGCCGGAGAACCAAACACGATCTCTCCTCGGGACCCAGACTGCTCAGGGCACTCCCAGACCAAACTCCAGCAGGATCCTGCATGCAAAGTACGGGGCACCAAGGCAGGGGACGAGGACCAGGGTAGGCTAGGAAGCTAGGGCTGGGCGCACGGAGCTTCCAGCGTCCAGGCGAAGCCCTAGGGATGCTTGCGGTTCCACTGGCGCTAGTTAGAAGAAAATGAGCTGCCAGCCACAACCTTCTGCCTTCTTCCCAGCGGGACAGGCAGCTAGGAGCACCTGGCTATAGGTGGGCCGGGACGGCCTTCAGAAGCAAAGGAGAGGCAAGCAGGCAAGCGGATGGAGCAAATTAGATGAACTATCCAGAGGCTGGTAATCAGACTGAGCAGCATGGGAAGTTCTCACCTGGCGACTGGAGTTTCAGGAGAGGGCGAGCGGCGGGTCCCGGGGACAGACACAACGCCTGCTGTGGGCGTCTTCTCTGCGGAGCGCTCGGTTCTTATGCGGGTGATAGGGGGCGGGGAGGGCCCCAGGAGTCCGCACGGCCAATCCAAAGTGGCCGGGAGCGACCCAGCTCCGATTGCGTCACTGCCCGCGCTCCCACACCGGTCCACTAAGGGAGGGGAACCGTCCGCTCTGGCTGTCATTCGCAATGAGGTCATTGCTTGGGGAACCGGAGGGCTGGGAGGGAGTGGAGGGCGTTTGACGTCCAGAAAGGGGGAGCAAACTGGGGGAAAGACTGGTGTAACTGACGGTGAGGGGCCAGAGTGCCTCTCACTTTCTCTGCGCCTGAACTCCGACCTCGCACCCCCTCCACCCACTCCAGTAGGGACCCCGGCCGGGTCCCTCAGATTCTGAAGGGATCTCAGGAGTAATAGTCCACGTTGGAGGCGGGGGGAGGGGTGGTGGTGAGAGGAATGGATCTTTGAAAAAGTAAGCTCTTTGGACCACATGGGGTGATGCGGTATATTGTTCCTCCCTACTCTCCGTCTACCGCCGCTCGAAGTAGTTTTGCTTCCAGTCAGGTAACCTGGCCTCTTTTGCCTCGCTCCTCTGGGACAGAGGTGGGAGTGGAAGAGAGGACTGGGGAAGGGGCTAAGCTGGCACTGCCTGCACAGAGAGCTAGACACCCCTCTTGTACTCCCGAATTCTCGAATTCTCGACTGCAAGTTCAGCATCCTCCACTCTAACCGCGGATCTGCACCGCGGCGCTGGAGTTGGTTTACACAGCTGTCCCACTCATCTGCCTTCTGTTTGCCAAGCTTCTGAGCCAGGACGCCTGTGTCCGGGTTTCTGCCTGTCTCGCCCCACACCCCCGCCCCACTTTCCTGAAGCGCTCGACTGCAGAACTGGCCGGGGTCAGCGTCCACCCACGGGTGCTGCAAACCCAAAGGGCAACCTTCGAACACAGAGGTTCGAAGCCCCAGGCTGGCAGTGCGCGCACTCACGCCTCCCGCAAGGTGCACACAGCACTCAGCCACCAGGACCCCAGACACACGCTCTACTTTCGCACTCACACACGGACACTCCGCAGACCGCCCGCACTCACTGCAACAGACGCGCCCTCACCGGCTGTTCGCTAAGGAAAGAGCGCGCATCCAGCCAACCCTACCTCGACCTGATTTAAAAGTAACACCTCGAGTTTCTGCTTTCGGAAACAGGCACGTTTTACGTACACGGGGGTACGCGTTGTCCCCTGCGCCCCCCGCCCCCAGCACGCAGACAGACACACGCGCCAGGTGGAAAGGGGCGGCTGGGAGCTGACTGTATCTGCCTTTTCCCTTTTCCTTAAGGAAAAGCCGGGTCTGGAGTCCGCGAGGCGGGCACCAGAGACACGCGGGCGCAGCGAGAAGATCCCGGCTGTGGAACGGTCGCCTAGGGACTGGGGGGAGAGGCAGCGGGGGAGGAGTGAAGGAGGCACCCACCTTCAGAGCCTCAGGCCGGCCCCGCACCACGTGGTCGCGGCGACACCAGGCGCGCCCGCCGGGCCCTCCTGAGCTCGCGAAGCCTCTCAGCAAACCTCGCCCAGAGGTGCGGGGCCGGGAGCGAAGTCAAAGGCTCGTCGAAGGCCCGCAGCTGGTGACCCCCGCTTCTGCGGGTCAAGGAGCACCGGGGACGTCTGTCTAGACCCTCCAGGTTTTCTGTGACAGGACGCTGCTTGCGGGCACCGGGCAGGTTGCCCTCCAACACCTTGGCAATCGAAACTCCCAAACAGGTCCTCCAAACAGGGCGATTCCTGCCGGGCCTGCTGTGGGGCGCAGGATCCAGAGTCCTCCCTGCTCCCGGGGAGGCTGCGCGGCGCGGAGAAGGTGGCCGGGGGCTGATCCGGAGGGACTGTCTCTCTGCGCCCCAGTTCTTGGGCTCGCTTTCGGATGCAACCGGTGACACCGAAGCGGCCTTTTACTTGGGGGCTCTTCTGCACGAGTCCTGCAAATGTGAGGAGACACTTCTGCGTCCCTTTCGGGGATTCTGGCCCGGGAAAGGGGCTTCCAGGTGGCCAGGTGCCGCTGGGAGCTGAGTATATCTGCCCCCCTCCCCGCTTCATCCCGGACCACTGAGGTCTGGCAGAGTGCAGCCTGCCCAGCAGCCCCGCTCCCCAGAGTGGTCCAGCGCAGGGGGCGGGAAAAGACCCGGAAGCCCCCGACCGTGGAGCCCCGACTCTCTAGCCTCCACCAAGCTCGCTATCTGTGGCGAGCTGAGTCAGAGAAGCCCGCAGAGAGCGCAGGAGGAATTGGGCTTGGGGTTCTGCCTCCCTAGAAGCCCCAAAATATGAATTTAGGAAAACTTTGAACTCTTAGGGTTAAAGGCTGAGAAGTTGGCATCCTCTCCAGAGACGGTGTCACTCGGACTTCCCTGAAGTGTTAGGACCCACAGCCATGCGGCCGCCATGAACACAATACAGTCCCTGGGGCGCCCTCCATTCCGCATGCGGTGGGTGACCCAGAACCAGAGCAGAGTTCCTGCCTGGGTGAAGTCGGTGAAAGATTCTGTAAAAGTCGTGGAAACGCGAATCCCTGCGCTCTGACAAGAAAGGGGCGTGCGCACCCTACCCGCAGGCCCACCTTGTCACAAGTAGCCCGGGTTCCGCGCTTTCAGTGTCTGGTTGGGTACCCAGAATTATTTACCCTAATCTTCCTCCACTAGTGTCTTTGCACAGTGTTTGGAGCATAGTAGGTGCACAGCAAAAGTTCGGTGACAGGGGAGTCAACGAGGGGATGAATGAATGAACAGTCCCAAGGGTTCATTACAGTAAGAGTCAGCAGGAAACTCGCAGCCAAGTTGAACAGCACCCAATTTAGATCCATTAGATGGAAAAGCAAATTGTTGATCCAAAGAGGTACCTCTTTTTATTTAATGAGAGGAATCCTGATGCCCTGGTGGAAACTTTCTGGAATATAACATGAGAGGAACGGCTTCTCTTCCGAGCTCCAGCTTGAAAAGCAAAATAAGGCATGTTCCCTCAACCCATCCTTTATTATATTTGTGAGTGAATGGAAGAAAAAGTCAATAAAATGCCTTGCTTTCTAAATCGAGAAAATTACATTTTGATTTTCCTGGAACTGTTCTGAGCTTCAAGGCATCCCAATCAAACCAACTAGCATGAGGATTTACAGCGAATGGTTTCCCAGGAATAATCTTTTGCTCTTAAATTGTCTCAAATATTTCCATGCTCAGTTTAACTATTTTATGTAATTATTTTTTACATTTTGAAAATGATAGTCATTAATTTTTAGAGAGAAACAGATTCCATGTATTATAGCCTTTTAAGTTTATTTTTATTTGCTTTAACTTACTGTCTGTTTTCTTTACAAATTTCTTTGGAGAAATATCCCTTAATGGAAAGTCTTATTCATGCAACAAATACGGAGAACCTACTGTGTGCCAGGCATTGTTACAGGCAGTAGCAATTCACAGAGAACAAAAAAAAACCCTGCCATCCTGATGCTTATATTACAGTGATGTATTTAACAGGAGTCCTTGTATATCACCTTCCACCTAAATGAAACACATACATATATATCCCCACCCAGGAATTGAACTGGGGTCTCCTGCATTGCAGGTGGACTCTTAACCAACTGAGCTGTGAGGGAAGCCCATATTCCACTCACATCCTCACAATATAGTAATATCATCTATCTGTCAAACAGATATTCAGATATTCATCTATCTGTCAAACAGATATTAAGACAATGTACGGACTAACTGAGCTACATAGTATACTTTGATTACATTTTCTTGTATGTTTTACTTTTAGTTAGTAATTTCCTCTCTTCACTTGTCTAATTTTCTTTCTG